TGCAGTATCAAACTAATTTCTTTCATATGGTTCTATCCTGTATCAGCACATCTTTTACTAATTCACCTTTGTGTGGATTGGTCAATATTTAAGTGTAAAACAGAAGCACGCTCATGTTCAGTAGGGTTATAGTAACATTTAGCTTTATTGTGAATTAATTTGTAGTTTATTTTCTCAAAATTCACAACATTTTCTTTTTCTGTCAACCAACTATTTGTGTGAAATCAGACTTTGCACTTTACTGTTAGCATTGGAGAAAAAAATACAGCCACGGAGAATCATTGGTCCTGTTACTATTCTTGCACCTGCTCTGTTCTTACAGTAACAAGCAGCCCAAGCCATTTAACTCAAGCGCCCTCTAACTGTAGGGTGCCAGCCACATGAAGCACCAGCAGAGGGCAGTAATCCCCTTCTAAAGAAAAACAGGACTGGCAGCGCACACAGAAACTTGTGTTTTTGTTTGTGTACGTGCGTGGGAGTGTGTGTATCTGTTTGTGTATTTGTTGTTTGGCTGGGTGTGGCTGGGAATGAATGAGCCGGCATGATCACTCTACTCAGTGGGATATGGGCAGATGGTGACAGAAGGAGCCGTTACTGTACAAAACTGAAGTCGCACTGAATTCAAAATTAATAAATTAATCTGTTTCCCAGGGATTCCTGTCCAGTGTCCTCCTCCCCTGGAGTGCTGTCTGTGAACATCTCACCTGTACAAAGTAAGAAACAGCAGCCCAACACACAACAATGAACTATTCTGTAATTGTGCTTATTTTAAAACTAAAAGCCTTTTAAGTTGACAGTTCACAGTTTGGTGTGACATCATAGAAAGTAATTTAAACAATATGTAGCTGTTTAATTTTGTTTTTATTTCATCTTGACTTTTTCTTTTCAATGTTAGATGAGCTTTATTTAATTATTAAAACTCTTATCTAAGACACACTCAAGGTAATTCCAAATAAGACTCTGCCGGTCGGTTTCCCCTGAAATTTGCCGCCATAACTCTGGCGTTGATAGATTGGCAACACAGACACGTAACATGCTTGCCATCTGCTGGCGTAAAACTGACACAGCTAAAAAAGAAAAATGGAAATTAGATTTTGTATCTACCCAAGAGAATTATGTATGAAATCAACTGCTAAAGATGTAAACTAAAGACATTTTCTCTATAATTTTAGTTTATTAAGGTTAGTTATTGTTTCATGTCAAGTCTCAAGGTATTTCAGAATGTGCTTTTTTCCCCCACGCTTAGTTTTGATTATTTTGGTAGTTTTCATTCACAACAAAAACCTTTATGTGGTGTGACCCATGTGCTTTGAGATATTCAACACTGTTCTCAACGCTGTATTTTCCTTTCTCCAACAGATCCACTGAATCCAGTCGCCACAACTAATCTGATATAAATCTGCCTCAGCTGACCAGGTGCAGCAAAGTAAGTGGATGTACTGAATCTGATTTACCGAAACACACAATAAATACCCTTCTTTCCAACAGTCTGAATCACAGTTCAGTTTTAAGAATTACTTTTAGGCTTTCTCTTAATGATTGGCTTTTAATGGCAGGAAACCGAACCAAGAAGTGGCGCTCTGATTGCACTTTTTGAGATGTAAACACAAGTACAATGAATGAATTACTAGGTGTATGCATCTGTTACACAGAGGTTAAGTATGCCTCAGTCACACATAATACATGACATTAATAAATGTACAATGAACTGTACAGTGTCATGTAGCCAAACAGTATAATTACCCTGTAAAATGGAAAGGGATTTATTTTTTTAAAGTATGAATTTGTATATCAGTTGTAATCAGAACCAATTAATATAAATCTGCTTCTTGTACATTCTCAAGTTTTCCCACTCCATTACATTTATACATTAACTTAATTGCACTTTATGACTCAACTCAACTATCACTGATGAAACTACTCAAATTCTTGTATTTAGTTCTGCATCACAATATTGCATTAGTAACAATTATTCATAGAAAATAAACGTTTCCCTGATCATTTCTGAAGAAGAGAAAAGTTAACCAGTTGATAGGAAGGCGACAACTTTTATTTCTGGACTGGACAGCCCTCTAAAATGTGTTCAGTGATGCTAGCTTGAAGATTTCTCAGCACACTTTTTTTTACTCTCAGCAGTGGTGAGAGTTGTGGTTGTGGCAGTGACGGCAGAAGCCACAGCACTAAAGATGTGAGCAGTGAGGTTAGGCAATAAAATGACCTTGACAACTATAATGTGGAAGCACCCCGCAATAATGATGATAAACTGATGGGTGGTGCCGTGGGCTAATTAGCAGTTAGCTATAATATCATTAATATTCCCAGTGCCAGCAGTAGTACTATCAGAAAAGTTGTAGTACTGTAGTAATACAAATATGGATCTCTCTCCTAAAATGTGAAGCAAAAGGGGAATTTGTGATTCAATTTGGTTATTCCATGTTTAATGTATTTTTCTACTGATACTACAGCGGTCCCACTTGCCGATTATATATATTTTGTTTACCGGGTCATTGAATCAGCAGTTTTAATCATGGATGAATCTATATAATTCACGTATTGTTCAAGTATACTTCTGACTGCTGTGGCTTCCAGAAATATATAAAGTAGTTTAAATAAGCAACCTTCTGTCAGGAGTCGACACGTTTGGTATGTGTCTGCAATTCACATCTAACTTAAAAGACTCATTTTGAATGCATGTTTACATATGTTGTGTTATACTTTTAGATCCCCACGTTTGGCTCAGTTTGAGTCAATACCCAATTACAAACAGACCCGGTCCAACTAACCACGACCGTTTGCCCTGCGTTCATGTTTTAACTCTGATCTGTTTAGATCTATCGGCCAGACGTCCAGTCACCCCATTCTGCTGGAAGGCTGATTGCCACAGGTCACATGACCTGGAAGAAAAAACCTAGGAGACTTTTGGGATCCCTCTTCGGTCAGAAACACCTTCTCATTGTCATTTCTTGCACACACTATGAGTAACATGACAAATGGACTGTTCTATTCTGATTAAAAGTGGGTGGTGGGAGTGGCTCGATTAGCTTCAAATTAATTGATCCTGTGCAGAAACACAGGTTTCACCAGGAAAATCAATCAATGTACTGATAATGTATACTTCAGTGTAGTTTTAAAGCAATTTGAAGTGATACACCTGTCTGAAGTAAAAACAATGGAATTATCTGAAAAAGCAACAGTCACAATAGATATGATGTTTTGTACACAATGAGGGAGCTTTTTTTATTCCCTCTGCTGCAACCTGACTTTATGTCTATTTTTCTTTGGCTGACTTTAGCATGGGCTGGATTTCAACCTGAAGGGAAGTCCAAAGGCTGATGAACTGACCTGTGTCCGTGTGAGACCACATTGCTCTGGTGTCCTATATGCCCTGGGAACACAACACCCAGCGCAAATCTGGTGAGTTACAGAACTTAGTAGATCTGCCAACGTGAATTGATGGCATTTACTCCATTCTTTTACAAAGATGTCTAACAGGTGTCCTTGCTTTAAAGTTTTAGACTAAAAGATAGTTGATAAATGTAGGCCTACATTTCAAGCATATGATTTTGTTTGGTTGGCAGGAAAACAAGCAAATGTTCAGTCATCATTCATACTCTACCACCTCTTCTTTATAATATTATTTCAATAAAATTTCAGTTAAGCAAGTGTAGTTTTTAAACAGGGCTCTCTATATACCCGTCCATCATTACAGAAACACTTTACAAAGTAGTTTTAGCTTGCTGAACCACATCGGAACCCTCACATGCAACTCCTACTGACAGAAACATGTCTGACTTGGTTTCCAATGTGTGGCAGGTGACTTGAGGAACTATCTGCGTTTGAACATATTACTCTATTAGAACATTTTCATCCTCTAGTAACATACCAGACCTCTTGTTCCTTGAGTCTTGTGTACAGTCATGCACAGGGTGCTTGACTGACCCATCTCCAAAAGCCTCTTTAATGTCAGTAAATGGAAAAAGCAGTTACTCCCAGTCATCAGCCTCGAACACAGAAACAGCTCCCTGCTGCTACAGTTCCTTCGATTCACCAGGGACATAATTACTCCTTTTTAGGAGGGCATGCTTGCCTTCTGCACCACAGTAAAAGGAGAAACTTGAGACTTAAGTGAGTAGATCAGTTGTAGCATGCAGTCCATCTATTTAGTTAGGTTGCAAGTTGACAACTGTCAATGAGAACTTTTACATATCTTTTGGCTCACTCCATCAAAATATCCCCGGTGATATGGTGACATCAGTCATATAGACAAATTCCATGGAAAGGCCTTCAGATTCATCACAATTTTACAAAATGTCATTGTGCCTTCTATCAACAGGTTGGGCTGCCCTTTGTTCAGTGAAAGTCCTCTTTACCACTTTACACCATAGAGTGCGAGGAGGAATTCCTTCAGGCAGATTTTAGCCTTTGTCATTTTAATACATTCTGCCACCTCACCATGGCTAAGGGCTACACCAAGGAAAGGCACAACTGACAGGTTTGAAAATAGCACATTAACATTATGTTTCAATAAATACACACAAAGCAGTGAGGTAAAACAAAACAAACGGCTGTACTTGATGTTCTGAGAGAAGCACATTTGAACACCTACTCTGAACAAGCGTCCGGGGTGTTTAGGTGTTGGAATGAATGTGTTTATCTAACTGGATGAATCAACATTTGTAATGCTATCAGGTACAAATACAGATTAATGGACTAAAGGCAAGTTGTCTTAACCTGCACCTCTGCCCTAAGTGAGACAGTCTAGCTTTGCACAAACCAAAATTGAAAACACATCTGTGCTGTTCTGGTCACCTTGAGAAGTCAAATATTAAAATATTTTAGCTACTTTCACTCAAATACCCACAATTTAAAAAACAAAATAAAAAATCTTTCTCACAAAGTCAATGCTACCCAATATGCAATTTGCAATATAAAACGTGATCCATTTCAACAGATGATGGACAAATAATGTACAAAGAGTAAAGTGAAATAAATTGTGGAATTTATCTTTATAGCTCATTACACCACCCTGGAAGTGGCTTTTTCTTGGTCTAGCTTACGCCATGTTCTCAACTTCCGTAGGTGATGAGAAAGCCTGAATGCACCATTAAACAAAGAATCAGGGCTCCATATGCTGAAGGATTTCATGAGCCGTCAAGGATATACCTGTTGTATCTGCCATAGGCAAAAGAAAGCAATACATTTCAACAATAGTTGGTGAAGCCACTGGGACAGAAGGGCCTTGCTGGTTGTAATATCATATTCAGCCTTGAAATGTGGACTTTCGAATGAGGCAGCCCTTGAACTAGAAAACATTTTTCTTTTTTTTCCATCTTCACTAAGGGATTTATCCATGTGACTCAAATTTTAAGTCAATTAACTCTGCAGGGATCAAAGACCCAGCAACAATAACTAGAGAGAGCCACTAGTTTCAGTGATGGTGGTGGACAAATGCAAAGGTATGCAGCAGTGTATAGAGCAGAACACCTCTTATTCCCAAACAGCTCTCACTGCATTCTCGGCATGTGACTCATGTTTTCTATTCTATCAGCAAACTCTCACCTTCAAACTCCCCTGATGTGTTTTCAGCGACTGTACATTATTACCCCTTGCCATTCTAGACATTTCTAATACTACAGACTAGTGCCTTCAAGGGAAGGAAAGACTATAAACAGATTTAGGGTACATATACTCATATAGCAGTGATATTGAGTATTGCTCCCACTAGCACAATCCCACTCAGGGTTCCAGCTCAGCTGATTTTCTGATGCACAGTCAACCTGCAACATAACAAATGGAATTGTGTGACAAATTCAAGCTGTGCTCAGCCACCAACTAAACACAGCAGACTATAATACCCAAGTCAGCCTGCCACACACTACAGTGGAACCCATGTGTGTTGTGACTGATACTGCCCAGCTTCAGCTCTCTTAAAAGTGAGAAGGAAGAATGAAATAAAAGTGCACAAGTTTCCTTTCAGGTTTTTCTACATAAGTCTGTGTGCCTGTTTGTATTCAAATCCTTTGAGCATGTCGTACGTGCCTGTGCATACACATGTATGTGTGTTTTGACTAGTTAATACTTGCAGCAATGCTTTGTAGATTCATGCTCAGAGAAAATATATATCTAAACTGGCTCTGTGTACAGAGCCCTGTTTTGGACTGATAGGACTAAGTCAGCAGATACTGGCTTCCTTTCATAACCCTATAGGGGAGGAACACGATGCCTCTGCTACCTCTGACCATATTATGGAGTCTGGAGCAGATGCCATGCAGAAAGATTAACAAACACAAAACAGATTTCATAGAAACGTAGATATGTGGTTCAGACAATTTTCCTTTCAAAAGCTCCACTATGTAGCTCTACTTGGCAGAATAATAATCTTGTAGCATAATGACAGATTGTAACAATAATGGTTTATTATACTGTACAACACCATTTGTTTGACTGACTAAAGTATGGTAATTAACATAATAATAGTGCTGATCTAAGTGCTCACGTACAAACAATGTAATTACCATTGATTTCATGTGCGATACTTTTGATTCTTTCAAACATCAGACATTCAAAGAGAACAGAAAACATGCTGAGTACGGTAAGATCCCTGTTGGTTTGTTGACTTATTCTGAACAGGGTTATATCCCATTAGTAACAGCTACAGTATGAATCCACTGCAGTAGACAAGACTAAAGCAAAGAGGTATGTGCTGAGACAGGCATGTAAAAACCTAAGACTGGGTATTTATTTTACTCTTTCTCAGCAATTTCACGCTTCATTATTGATAGACAGTAGATGTATATCAGTGTAACCATTGTTACTGCTCAGTGCAATTGTTGTGGTCACTGAGCAGCTCTACATATAACAAGTAGACGAGGGCACAATGGGAGTTTTTGTGGAACTTGTTCAGAAAATCAGCATTTGATCCCACAGAGTTTCCTTATTCATCAGCAAAGTGCATTCGTAGACTACAGTAAAAAGACTAATAGTGTGGGAAGTATTTACTAGGATTTGCCGAGTGTGTGTGCACTCACTGCAGCTCACTGATGCTTCCTCTACAGTAGCAGGTACAGTTCTACCAGAGCCTTTTTTTTAGCTCTAAAATATCAGTGGCAGTCCTGCCCTCATTATTTTGCTATTAGTGTGGCCCTCTCTGGCACTATCCCTGAACTGGCCAAGGAGCAATACAAGCTGCTCTGTAGGAATGTAATTAAGTCAAATATTAATGAGCTGATCCTGAAGACTTAATATTAGCTCTCTCATGTTGCAGGGAATTTCCCACGTGCCACATGCCAGTTGAACAGCTTATCTTGCCTATCTGTCTGGTTAGTTCTAAAACTATATATGTTTCAGATTCAAGAGTGTGCCATAATGTCAGTTTTATCAACTTGAATGGATTTTTAACAGGTCACTTACAAGTACTAGTTGTCTGTTTCACCCAAGAACAGAAAGATATCAAGGAGCCTCTGTTTAACGGCTTTGAGAGCGAGGCCTTGGGGGACAATTGCGTAACATGACTTCCCTGCACATGTAAGGATGTGTACTGTGTCCCCTTGAAGACTACCGTTATTTGAACATAAAGTAAGCTTGGCATAAGCTTTGCATTGGTTGTAGTACCCCCGTGACGATGGTAACCTTGAGAAATGGGGGGCATTACATGGTGTTGACTTAAACTGGTCATCTCGAGTGTCCTCATTGTTGAGCCTCAGTAAATGTCTCTGCTTAAGTCATCTGGGTCTCCTGTAAATTCATCTATCATGAAATCATGTGCTCACACAGTTAACATGACATTAACTTTGTCACAAAAGCCTCAGTTCTAGTATTATAGTATTATATCATATCATATCAGATCAAGTACAAATGTACTTGAGGTGAATAAAAACATGAACTGCAGAGGCTTTAGTCAGTCGTTGTCAATACTTAGATAATGTCTAATCAGAGGCTTTTAATCCCAGCTGCTGTTACAGAGAACTCGGGCACCGTGAGGTAATTTCAGTCATAACCAAGCTTTGTTATTGCTATTAAAATGTGTACGGTGTAATTAAACATTAAACTATTAATGATTCCTACATTTGTTAAAAGGGAAAACGTTACTCACATGGACTGTAATACTTGTTAACTTAGGAAGTACATATGTGGGAATCTGTTCATTTTCAATTTGATCAAAAAACTGACATGTAATCAAGGTCACATTTGTGTGTATCAGACTCAAGTTTAGCCCACAAAAGCCACTTGTGCGTCATTAAATGACGCACATAACCCAGACTGAATGTGTCATAAAGGCAAAAGTATTCAAGGTGCAGCAGCTGGGATGTGATAATTTGAAAGGAAATGGGGAGGGAAAAAAAGGCTGTTTTACTTGAAAACTGACCCCCATCAAGATGCTGCCAGTGGTGGCATACATAGAAAACAAAGGATAT